TGCAGGTCGGGACTTTTCAGTGCTCAGAGTCGGACTATAGAATTTACATATTAACTAGCATTTTATCACAAATTAAATAACGTATCAGTTGGGGGTATTCCTCACCGGTGAACCCTAGCACGCGTAGACGAAGAGACAGGGTTTTATGTGGCACTTGCAAACGACTTGTTGAGATTTATCAGCCAATGTGCAAACACAAAATTCCGATCGTCCTGAATTACCATGAAAAAAATTTAGCCATCAAACTTTTGAGTGGTCAATCCGACTACAAGTGGTTTAAGTGGGCGACCTTCGAACTACGAGATATCCGAACTACGGGAGTACCCTTAACAAACTTAAATCTGTGCAGTCTAATACCGCGTTGCATCTGCGATTCCAACAAATGACGGCAGTGTCTTTACTGCCGCTCGTTTTAATCATGTGTTGCTGAACTTTAAATTATACTCTGTCAGTTTGCTTTAAATACGCCCTTGGATCGTTCTCAGTAGCTACGGGTCTAGCAGACTAGACGGTATTTTAAAGCGAGCAGTACTTTTAAGAGCTGTTTTTTGTTTTCCGAAGACTTTTCTTCTAGGCACTGAAAAGAGTGGCAATCTGAAGGTACTAAAGCTGTTCAATTTTTTTCTCTTTGAAATCAATCACAAACTGGCGAAAATGTTCAATCGTTTGATCAGATAAGAGTGCATTGAAGAAGCAGCTGACGTAAACAGCGCACGCGTGGTCTAGTGCGTCAACTTACCCGAGGATGGCACACTGTTACTTCAAAAACAACTCCGTTTCCTAAGCCAAGTCAGCACCAATGCATTTGCAGTTAATGTTAGTGGGGGGGGGAATTGGGTGTTTTATGCCAACTGAATTTTCCCTTGTTTAACTAATAACTACTCGCTTCAATAATTATTCGCCGTTGGGGGGAATCGGTGTCCCAGTTGAAATAGCCGCATTTATTCAAAATATACACCTTTCAGGGCAATTTCGTTCAGAATAGTAAGGAAAATTGGACTGGAACTTGCATTTTGTTCCCTGCAACCTCTGCGTTGGTGTAGGTTAGCCGACGATTACTGCTATTTCTGCGCTGATAGACAGTTTTAAAGTTCGAAATCCGTGCTCCTGTCCATTGCCACTTCTACTGCCGTAAATACGTCATTGCCATCGGTTAATAGATTGTGGACGCTGATAGGACGTATACTATACTTAATATAACTGAAAGCAAAGAGAAGGCACCGAATGACGCCCTAATGAAGAAGAAACCTCAGAGACCCCTTGTTCACCGGTACAGAATCGGCAAAACACACCTGTTCGGGTTTAGAGAAACTAATCATATTGCCAATATACTACATCTTTCAGTGTTTAGATACTTTTGTTTCCGACCACACACCGAATATGGAATATCCGCTCGTTGATGTTGATTTTAAGTGGCACATATAACTTTAAATGGAAAAAATGTGGAAGCGAAAAAACACATAAATATAGGGTCAGTGTACCAAAAGATCGGTTAAATTGTTAACCGGTTAAATGAATACATTTGGGCAGGCATCAGCAGACAATCTTTCACGTCATTCGGATGAGGTTACTTTTAAGAAGCAAATTGACTTTTATGCACAAAGAAAGTACTGGGAGAACAAATAGGTAGTAAGTCAAATATTCACGATGTGGATTTTTCTAAAATTGAGAACACACTTGGGTGGGAGTTTAAAGCGTCAAAAGGGTGCTAGATTTGGCCATGTGGCTGTTACCCACCACAGGTAATCCAAAAACGCTTATTTATTCTGCGTCAAAATGTTTGCGGATTCAGATTCTTTGCCGTTCTCATTAGGAGCGCCCGACACTGACCGGCATCGAAGAGAGAAGAAAGTTATTTTATTGAAGAACTGAGCACTATTCAATAAGGTCGATGAAGATGGTGACAAATATTACTGCTGCTTGACTAATTATTCTGAAGTACTTGTCTGAACTGAACATTCCGATATGTGAGCACGACAACAGTTCTCGTGAACACTTAATGTTGACAGGAAATACTTGCCTTCTACTGAATTGTTTTTGGAACTAGGAAAATCTAAACACATAGCTAAGAAACCTGTGCTATACTGCGCTAAGGGCTCTCCTTTGGTCGCCCGAGAGGATTTTTAAACTTTGTCTATGTTAGGCCCTTAGGTTTAAATTGACATCAGACGCTGTCTCAGCATGTTCTGCATCAGAATAACTGATGGTAGCTGTGCGAAAAGCCGAATTTTCACTAAAGCTTTGGAAAAAACGCGAAGAGGTTAAATTGTGCATTATGCTATCAGCAACATAGCACAGCATATATGATGGGTAAGTAGGCCAAAATCCCGTCCATTTACTCTTTTAAATATTGCGTGTATTTAACACCAGTCACTTGGAATCAAAACTGGCACGAAAGAAACCAGTCATCGAATTAAACATTGGGGTCATACATCCTAACGCTGCCCTAGTAGTTTGATTATTCCTCGAAGTTAATGTGCCAAAAACCGCGTAGAAAAAT